TATTTCTTTTTTATTAGAGTCTATCCTAATTTTACTAATTAATCTGTGAATTTGTTTGATGAATTGATAATTTGGAATCAATTTTCATTCCTCTGTTGCAAATTTTAATCTACAAAGAATTTTTTGTTTATTATTAAATCTATTATTAAATCTCGAGTAAACTTTTTGGAAGTTAAGTTTTTGTGAATTTTGTATTGGATTTCACCTGGTGAAATGACAAAAAGAAAGAGAATATTTAAAAACAAAAATAGTGGTATTTTAGTTCGGTTTTTAAATCTATTTTCTTGGTTATTTGTTTGATTTTCTAATGGTTGAAATATTTTTAATACGTGCTTGGCAAATGTCTCGACTTTTTTTTTGTTTCGATACTTGTCCATTTTCTATTTTTATCGAATTTTATTGATTGTTTCAAATTGTTTTTTATAGATTTCTATAGCGATTAATCTGTGTTTTTATTAAGCATGAGTTTTTTCAGAAATTGTTTTCTCTTTGAAGAAAGTCTTTTAATTTTTCCCCTGCTTGACTAAGATTTGTTTTGTCATTTTCCTTTATTAATAGTCTTTTGTAAGTTAGCATTTTTCTTATTTCATTGAAATAATATATTAAAGATTTTTGCTTTTTGAAGATGGACTGAATTTTCATACACTGAATTCTGTTTGTTTTTGTGTTATTTTTCAATAATTCTCTATAATCCTCTGGCTAGATTTTGAATTATAATTCCTTATAATTCCTTTTGAATTAATTTCCTCGAGTCTACAAGTAAATACAATTCTTCTACCTCTGTTAATATTTCTGCTAATAATTGTTTAAATATGTTTCGTATTATAATCGGCATAAAGTTATTTTTAACGAAGTTAGCAATCGAGTTATTGATTATACATGAAGATTCTAGTGTATTATTGCTTTTATTCTTTTATAATATCATTTTTAATTTAATTGTTTTGTAATATCATTTTTAATTCAATTATATTATATTTTTTTCTTTTTTTTCTTTATCTAGGATTATTTCCTAGCTTTTAGCTTAAGTTTAGCTTAGAATTTTCTCTTTTTTTGCTCGAAATCTCTCTTTAAAATGTTAGTTAATTTTGGTGAAAAGGTCACTAAAGTTAGTGTACATATCTGTTTAGCTCATTATGGTTGCGATTGATGATACACATATTTCAAATATTCTGTTGCATTTGATTGTTAATAATCGAATTTTATGTGAAAATTTTGGAGCCTTTTGTCATAAAAGTTGATGCTTTGTTAATGCTATTCATAATTATTTAATACCTGTATATACGTGAGCGTCTACGAATATTTAATTTTTTGTATATTAGTGTGGATGAGTTATTCGCGTGCGAAATATAGACAAGCTGTAATTGACAGTAATTTGACCCACTTAATGTTTCTTATAATTCACGCAAACGGCTTGCGTTAATTTACCACTGTTAATTTACATTAATTTTACATTCGTTTTTATATCTAAAAAGCATTCATATTACCGCTAAATGTTCGTCTGAACAAAAATCAATTCGCTAAGTCACTCGGTAAAATCTATATAATTAGTGTAGTGCACAAAAAGATAAAGGATTTTTTGTTATTTTGAAATATTCAATATTAAAAAATTGTATGGAATACAAATAAATACAAAATCTCCGAGACTAGGTATTTTAATGAAGGTATTTTTAATGCCTTAGATATGAGAGACATGAATATATGCATAATTGTTGTGCGCATAATCAGGAACCAGTTTAAGTTATTGTGTTAAATGTGCCAGGTTATTTAAAATTTAATATTAAAACTACTAACGATTAAAGCATAAAATTTCCGTCACAGGCATTAAAAATGAAAAATTTTGTTATACAATAGAATACACAAGCTCCTATTTATACATTTTACGAAAAATCTCTAAAAATAGACTGTTTTATATCTATAAAATATATAACAAAAATTATATTATTGAAAAGTTCCAATTAACAAAAAATTATAAAAAGTACAGTAAACTGTAACAAGTATATAAACTGCGGAGATAACCATCCAATGTTACAAAAAATAACAGATTATGAAAGAACTTCTAAAAACTACAGCCTCAAATACAATAGAAAACAGTTATTGGTTTTACCAATTATACATTAATTGTATAAATTATACATTACGAATATTTAAATAGTAATTAAATAAAAGTAATATTCTATCTCTAGATAGAAACCAAACAAAATACATTCGATAAATATCATACAAATTATGATAACATACAAATGAATAAGTAAAATATATAAGAATAAAACAAATAGATGAATACTCAAACTGATCAAGATATTCAAAAGACTAAAAATAAAAATGAAAATAATGGAATAAAATTCAGCTTATTGATAGAAATTATATGAAAATACCATATTACACATTATATCAAATAAATCAACCATAAGTGAAAACATGGTGGAACAGCTACGATAATAAAAAATGAAATATATATCACAGTACCACTGAAAAGAAATCCAATAATCATCATCGTCTTAGAAGGGATTAAATGCTAATTTATTCAATATATATATATCATTTAGATTTAATATTAATACTTCAAAAACATATTTTCTGAAATATTTGTAAATATTTATAATATTCATAATAGCTAATGATTTTAATGCTAAACATCCTGTTTAACGATTAAAATTAACTACACGTAAGTGAGATATCTACGTACGCTCTTAACATTACAAATTTAAATCTATAAAGATTAGTAATGAATCAACACATCAACCATATCAAACTACCTAATATATTTAATTATGATATCTTTAAAGATATCATTATTAGAAAGATTCTATATATACAGATTCTATAGATGCTTTGAATTCATACAAGATTCTATATATAGAATATGAGTATATTCTATACATACTCATATTCTATATATACAGAGTGGTCTATTTAAGTGAGACCACCTAAATCTTTTCGAATTTTTACCTAATGGTACCGAGAAGCCAATAATTAGTAAGAATATTTTTTCTCAAAATCATTTTTTCGAACCTTTCAAGGTCATTGAAACTTAAATTTATTTATACATCTGAAAATATTTTTTGAACATATTTTACTAGGTACATGGTACAATAAAAAAATATATAGTTATATGAAAAAAACATTAATGACTTTGAAAGATCCGAAAAAATTACCTTGAAAAGAATTATTCTTACTAGCTATTGGTCTTTTGATACCATGTTAAGCAAAAAATATTTTTTGCATCGTCAAAATTCGAAAAGATATTTAGTTTTATTTGAATGGGCCACCCTGTATATAAACAGATCCCAGCTCTGATTATCTTCCATTATGTTTTAACATATACAAACAAATAACGAACATCTGTTCTATGAATAAATTCTACATTTCACTAAATTCAAAGAATACATTAACAGAAAATTACATTGTAATTATCGCTAAAAATTTCTTACCAATTAGAAGAAACATAATTCAAACAGCGTGGATAAATAAAAGATTTAAGAAAAAACTAATTGAAAATATTACAATACTTATAAATATTTTTGAACTAATAAAAAAGAAAATAATTGCAAAAATTTAATAGCAAAGATACAATACGACACATAAAACAACATAAAAAAGGAAATGTATAATCAAGAAGATATTATAAAAAATTGAAAAATTCAAGCACATTTATAACTAAGTGGTAAATATAGACTATTTGAATGAATAAAAATATAAACTATTGCTCATAGAAAATAGCAAAAAAAAAAATGCAATAAATGATCAATTTCAATACATTTACTAAAAATATAAAATGAAATATGGATAAGAACAGACCAAGAAAAAACTAAGAAGTTTGCTATCTTAAGCGATACTTTTGCACTATATAATATACAATTGCCGGTACCTACAATAAAAACACATATTACGTCATCAGTAAAAAAAAAAGAAATAAGTAGGATCATTGGTAAATATGCTAAACTTAAATATTGCTAAACAAAACATCAGGATTTGATCTAATTATCGGACAGACTAAAAAGATATAATACTTCTAACTGTATTCTACAATGCATCAATAAGATTCAATTACTTCTCTATTATTTAGAAAATTGCAAAAGTAGTATAAGGCAAGTTTATGTGAAAAACAGATCTATTTCTTATTATTATTACCTATTAATCTTCCTTATATCTATTATCAAAAATATTTGAGATATTACTATTCAATAGTATGAAACCTGTCATAACGAAAGAATAACTAATCCCTGAATACCAATTTAGTTTTTTAAACAATACAACATATACAGAATGATGAATAACATATTACAGAAGTTAGAGATTAAACTGCACTATTTTTAGATATTGAAAAGGAACTTGACAGAATATAACATAAAGAATTATAATCCATATACTATTTACTACAAATATCTATTGAACAGAATATTCTGTGTAAGTTTCAACAATATTAATTCAAATATTAAATCTTGTCGATAATACTGCAATCTAAAAACGCAGATTTTGCAAGCCATCAAATTAAAAAAAAAATTAAAGTAAACGGAGTTTGTAACATTTGTACTAATGAGAATAAATATGTCAACAATTTCCCTAAATAATAGTTGAACCTACAAACATTCGCCATTTTGATTTATACTTGGACTCCAAATTTAATTGGAAATGCCATATTAAAATAAAAACTGAAATAAAATTACGACAGAAACAAATATTGACATAAATCAAAATTAACTAACTTCTATTCTGTAAAACTGTATTGAAACTCATTTGAACATACAATTTGATACAATTGTAAGGAATAGTTGCTAAGTCATTTATCTGTAATTTGAAGTATTACAAAACGCTATTCTAAGAATTATTGACAATATATACTGATAAATATATAAAGAATAGACAATTAAGAAAAAAATACAAATATCATTTGTCAATATCATATAAATCATAACATCATTTTCAGAGAAAATCATAACACATGATGTAGTGACACAAAAATAACAAACCATCTAAATAAAACATTATATTCTATTAATATGTGTACTAATTGTAAGAAAGAAAAATATCCAATACAAACTATTGTAGTACATCTACAATAAAAAAAATTGTACAATAGATGTTCTTCTTGCTGGAAAATTAATCTGACTGTAATAATGACATCGTTTGCCAAACAAACAGGAACTATTATTTTTTCAAAACAGAATATTTCCGGAAACAATGATTTTTCCTTAAAATATTTTATGCAGCATTTTTAAATATTAAAATTATAAATACTTGAAAGAAAAAAGCATAAAACTTATTAAAAACATGATAATATTAATGATAATATTTTTCTCTCACAAAATAATTGTTAAAATCTTAATTGTAAACTTAACAATTGTTATTTTTTTGATTGAATATAAGTTATAATTCAATTATTATTATTATTATATAATACTAAATAAAATATTAAAAACTTTGTACTTTGAAAATTTTTAATTGATTTCTGTATGGAAATTATATTTTAAACTTCAAATTAATTTCGTAAAAAAATTTTTTTTGATATAATTAAAAGGGAAAAATTTTTTTTTAATACACATATATATATATATATTTATATATTCTAGCATTAAATTATTATATTATATATTTATTACATTAGTAGTATAACTCAAAAATAGAAGGAAAAATGAATTTAAAGGTTTTATGTAACAACTATTGTTTACATAACAACTTTTTTATATACCAATAAATCAATTTTAAAATCAGAGGGCAAATTATTGTTGCAATAAATAAATGATATGTGATATTATTATTTTTGTGATATTATTATTTAAAAATAAAAAGTAAATGTAATATAATTTATAAAAGTAAAAATAATGTTAATGATTTTTTACAATTTCAGTTAAAGAAGAAGATGATCAACTGCCGTAGCGGTTATTGTCCATTTGATCTCTTTTCGGGAGTGGAAACACGTATGAAATCAGCACTAAAAGGATTGCTAAAATCACCACAGAATAATCTTAAAATTTTTAAAGATGGTGTTATAGTTTATGATCAAGAATCAAATTCAAGCGATCTTGAATGTGTCTTAACAGAATGGTTTTGCAATTCTATTAATTTTACGAATAAAGGATACATTGATAAATTCTGTAATTTAATTTGCACTGTTCTTTTACGTCCATTTATTTCCGAAGAATTTAAGTTTTGTACACTTCCTACATATGAATTGTGCACATCTATCGTTGAACAAAATTCGAAAATGACCACATACATTAATCCAGATCTAATAGCAAAAGCCAAGAAATTATTATATTTTGCTGGAGAGGTAAATATTTTATAAATTTTGAATTCTTAACATTTTGTTATAATTTTTAATAGAAGACTGATTAATAATTATTTCAAAATATTTCACATTATAATTTGATAATTATGAAATTAGTTGCATGTTAATTACGTAAATACATATTTGTCAAAGTTTAACAAAGTTTAAATAACATTAATTTATTTTTTTACAGATGTGTAACTTAAAAGAGGAAATATTACCAAATAATTCGGTACTAGAACGAATACTTCATATGCAAAGGTTACCTTTCATTAGTTCAGAATACGTTTATAATACATATTTAAAGTTTCGTTCGTGGTTGACTGACGATATTATTTATTCTAATTTAATAAATACGATCAAATTTAATGAGTATGAAATATCTTGTATCAAGCAAAATGTAAGTAATTATTTACATACTGTAATACTTATTTTCATTAAATAATTAAAGTTTTATTGTGAATTACAAAAGAGAATTATTTACCATTATATGTAACTGAACATGTATACAGGATGAATCTAATAAATAACTAGGTCGAACAATAAGAACAATAATCTATATTGAAAATACAGGAAAAAATTATAAAAGAAAATTTTACATTGTTTAAGAAGCCCTATCATCATGTGAAATGATTTTTTATAAAAATGCATTGATGCAATTGCAAAGAACATTGCATTTGTCTTTTAAATTTGAAATACTTCAAATATTAATTTTTTTCAATGCTGTGTAATAACATTTCTTTATTTAGAGTGACATAATTAATCAATTCGTAGAACAAAAGCCATTTAAAAAGTTAATGCAATTGCATTTTGCAATTGCAAATGGAGCTTCTTAAACAATGCAAAATTTTCTTCTACAATCTTTTTCTGTCTTCAATGGAAACAGTTATAGTCTGGCCCAGTTACTAAATATATATGTATATATTTTGTAAAAATATATTTTTATACTGAAATATTTTAACGATTTTTTTATTTTTCAGAAATCTTTAAATCAAGTGAAGAGCCTTCAAACATTAAAACAAGTTCATATACAAACATATGCCAAAAATAGTACAACTTCTAACAAATCAAAAGTTATTGACGATTGTATTATTGGCAACAAACATATTAATGAACCTAACGAAAATTTTCTTATATCGAAATCAATTTTAATTCCAATTGAAAAAAATAATTTTCGCTACAGTAATGTAATAAACAGCGAAGATAAAGTACATTATAATGAAAGAGAAACATATTTTTATGTAAATACTGAAAGTATATTATGCTTGCAGAATTACCTCTTATTTTCGTGTGCTAGAGATTGTTCAATATTGATGTCATTTCGAGAAATAAATCCGTAAGTTTCAAAAATATTTTATTTTGTAAATAATGAATAATATACTATAACAAAAATATTTAAACAAGATTTTAAAAACTTATGTAACTAATCAAATTTTTAAAAATTTATATACTAATATTTTTCTTTTTTTGCAATATAGGAATACCGTATCATCTACCATCGATAATAATATAGTGCAACTTCCGGATGGACTTAGCTTTATTTACAATATCAGAATTTCTGATATAGATCCAAAAAGCTTACATTGCATTGAAAAACATCGCCAACGAGATATTGATGTTTTAAATTCAGTAATATCTTTTCTAGAACAAGATTTTATAATTAAAAATCAAAATTCATTTGAAAAATGATTATCATAATGATAATTTTTAATCAAAATTTTGTTCTATAATGTTCCTATATTTCATATCTTCTAAAAGTATAGAAATTATATAACATATACTTCGAATATACGTACATATCTCTTCGTATGGAAAATGTACAGGGTGTTTGCGTTATTTTTATCCAGCATTTTTCTCGGAAATAGTAAACAAGAGGAAAAAATGGCAGAGGATAAAGTAATACAGTAATGACCAACACAGTAATGTATAACAATTTTTTATGTTTGCAATATTTTTTACGAAATTAAAGTTATCTTTAATTTTTTATATAGAGTGCTATTTTTTTCCAAGAAAACCGCTGGACAAAAATAACGCGAACACCCTGTCATATCTAACAGGCATGTTTCTAGGCATCTATAGTACAAGTATATTATATTATATTATATTATATTATAAAGTAGTAGTTCACAAAAATATATACATACATTCTCTATTTATTTAATGTTATATGCAGAGTAGGCTGCAAAGCGGTCACTATTATTTGAATTAGTGAATTCTGAAGCTCTAGCTCAAAATAAAAATTTTTAATATCGAATGAAGAATTTACTAAGCATTCAAAAGCATCATTTTTGTAATAAAAAATCATCTTGAGAAAGATATTGAAAACCATCATTTTTTAAATAAAAAAAGAATTTCAGTCAATCATTTTGGATTTTTTAAATAACGCTATATATTTTTTTATGATATTTTACATTATATTAAGTGATGTAATACATGTATAATCTTAATTATTCCTAAAGTAGCATTACGATTTTGTTAACAATAAATCAAAACAAACAAATGAGAAATTAACGATAAAGTAAAAAATAAAATTGTAAATTAGAATTCAGAAATATTTATTATTGTAGTATTAGATAATTGAAATGAAATAATTACTCTCATAAATATTTGAACATCGAAGTAATTGCGAAATATTTATTTATTGTGTGAATAATCAAAATTAAAGATGATTTCGATATTTCAAAAATATTCAGATATTATATTTAACTTTGCGGTCGAAATAATCGAAAAAGTCGGTAAGGTCAGTGAAGTGGTTCAACTTAAATGTTTATGCGCATAAAGTAGTAAAAATAGAAAGTAAGATAGAATAATTGTTTGTAAAATTAGTTTGATGCCTATTTTTATTACGAAAATAGATTGAAAAGACAAAAATACCTCGTTCCGAGTTCAACAACTGATTATCACAGAGAAAAAAGAAAACCGTATTAAGAAATTGATGACTTAAATATAAATAAGAGTATCGTCCTAGATATAATACGACGATACACTGAAGAAAATAGGCTTGAAACAATCCTGCAAACGGGACGACCAAAATCACTGGACTTGCGCGAGAAGAATAGAATTATATGAAAAGTCGAGAATAATCCCAAGATAAATACTATACTAAAATACTCCAATACTAACTAAAGAATTATGTGAAGAAACCGGAAAAGTAATACATATTAATACATTTCGTTATATATTATATGAGATATAGCTCAGAAGAAGCCTTTCATAAATGAAATTAATCAAATGAAACGATTAACATTTATGGAAAACTTTAATTTTAAAGAAAAAATGTGGCGGAATGATGTGATTTTTGCGGACAAAAGCAAGTTTGAGATTTATGGATGTAATAGACAGAAAATAGTATGGCGAAAAGCAAATAAATAATTTAAAAGAAACAATCTTTAACAGTGAAAATGGATGTAAATGATACTTGTAAGTTTTATTAAGATAACGATTCGAAACAAATCTCGGATTGTTCAAGAATATTTATTGTACAAGCTAAGTACTGCATCCTCTTCAGATTTAAATCCTATTACAAAATTATAGAATTCATTGGATCGCAACATTAAAAAAAAAAATTCTAATCAGAACACAAGAAGAATTGAAAAGTCGCTTAATAGGAGGGTGGAGAAATATATACCAAAGTTATTTACTTGAAATAATTTTGAACACGCTTACACGTTTGAAAAAGGTTATTCGACAAGGATTTCCAACAAAAATATTATAAGAATAAGAATATATAAGAATTGTTACAATTTAGTTTTTTATGTATTACAAAATAGTTATGTACTATTAAATCCGAATATTTTTGAGACATCTTGATTATTTGAGACTGAATCTTTTAATCTTGATTTTGAGACATTAAATCTTTTAATCTTGGTTATGATTTATTATGTACAAAATAGTAAAAAATAAAGTTTGTATTTTTATATGTATACTAGAATAAGTGTCCATCATACAACAATAACTTCGGTAAACACATAATAAATAAAGATACCAAGTGATAATTTTGCAACTGCTTCGCTGTCTGATTATTTATGAGTGACAGTGTGTATACAGTACATCATCAAACTTTTGTAATTCAAGAATATTGTAAAAAAATATGTGATATCATTTAATAAATATAAAATAATCCGTTTTTAATGAAAAAATAATGCTTTTGAAATTATTTATTTAATATCAATAAACTTGTGTACAAAACATTTTTTTCTTAAACTATTATTAAATATCAGATTTAAATATCATAATAACTGATTTATGTTATCATTCCATATCAACATAATAATCAGCAGATGATTTAAGTAAATTTGTTCTAAATTTTAAACATTAATATTTGTACACATGTTCAGTCAAATTATTTTTTTATAAAATTCTTATACAAGATATGAGATGGGGAACATAAATATGAAGTGTGTAATTATATATTTTTAAGATTATTCATTTTATTTATTCAAATAAGTAGATAAATTAGCTGAAAATTTTCATATATAAAATTTTAGCTATTATTAATTAGCTAAAATTAAATTTCAATATATATTTGTGATCTTAGTTATATTGTATTTTAAATTAATACCTAACAAAATGAAATGAAAATACATATGAAAATATTTATAATCGTTTATTTACTTAAATGCATAGACATCACATTGAATTACATATCATGTTAACCTAAAATATTAATCTAATTTATTAACCTAAATGTTACTATATAGAAATTTAATAAATGAAAATGATTTACATTACGTGCTATTAAAGTTTGTACAATCATTAAATTAAAAGTTAGAATAATTTTATTTAACACATTTTAAACTATTTACAAGTATCAATTGCTGTAAAGATGTATATTATAGTGTACATCAATTAATAAATGTTTTAATGTTTTGATAGTGTATATCAATTAATAAATGTTTTAATTTAAAGCAAATCAAATGTATCTTAGATTTATAAAATATTTTATAATATATCTTTATAAAATAATATTTATGTTAAAACTGTTTAACATAAATATTATTGCTGTATAAAATGATGAAAAGATTTTCTCTGTTATTAGCAATACAAATGTATAAGTGTATTAAAATAATAATAAAATATTTTTATTAATACTTTATCATACCTTGCAATGACTATTAGGCCATTTTTAATTCAATTCAATTTAATTTTATCAGAGTTTTTCAATTTAAAAAAAAATATATGTAGTTTTCAGAAATAAATTAGATTTTTCAGAAAAATAAAAGGTTCAATGAAGTATAATAAAAATTTACATTATACATAATAAAAATTTATTCATTTACAGGATAAAACTAAATCATTGTAATTAAATTGTATTAAATATATTAAGTATATTTGAAGAAAAAGATGTGCAATTAAAAATATAAGTTAAATTTTCATTCTAATTAGCCATTTGTTTTTAACACATTAATAAAACAAAAATTATTTTATTTTTAATTCATCAATTATTTTAACAAATATATAATAAATCTATTATGAAAAATTTGATTAAATCTTTGATAAATTAATTGTCTTGTACGTAATAGTATCATGAATGATATGGGGTGTGGATAAGTTGAAATTGCTATACCAACTATTCAAAAGTGTATTAAAGAGATTTAAAAAAATTAAAAATTCTACTTTAAAATATAATTTCTTTGCAACAACAATATATGAGTAATATATAATTATAAATTATAAATTTATATTATAACAAATTAGTTGCGTTAATAATTAAAATAAAAATTCACTATTCAATAAATAAATGAATAAGAATTAACAGTTATATTTTAAAAGTTATATTTTATAAAATATATTTAAAAAATATATAAAATAGTTTATACATAAAATAAATTATTTTATAAATAAATTTATTATTTAATAAATTTATAATAATTTATATCTATATTAATAAATAAAGATTAATTTATTAGAAAATAAATTTATAAGTTTCTAATATGTACAATTTGAAATATTACATTTTTGTACTAAAATACAGTTAATAATTTAGAAGCTAGAAATACATATTTAGTTTTATATACATAATAAGGGTGTTGGAATCTTTTCATACATCCCTAAATACCGTGATTTGATTGGTCAGTTAGAAGTAAACGTCGGATAGCTTCGGTTGGCATCGGTTCCATCTGTGAGGATCTTCGTCCCCACTGTAATTCTTGTGGCTCTATCACAACCCACGGCGCCCCTCCCCAATGGGAGAGAAAGAGCAAGCAACTGCAGTGCTCTCTCGACTGCCAGTTGACGTTCGTAAATGGCGACGTATCGATGTCGAATGTACGTAGCGAACTGGTAAATCGTCGTACGTGATGACGGCTCGTCACTGAACCTCGGACGGCGATGGGCACGCAAAAGCCGGAAGAATGGGCGAATTTGCTGATCACACGTTTCGAGGAACAGGTACATTCCAGCTGTGACTTGAAGTACAAATCTGTTTAGCTTTCCTTTCTTGTCCTATTCGTCTTCCTTCTTCGTGACCGCCCCTCTCTTTCTTACCTATTCTTTTCCGGTGCTTTTCATATTCTTTCTCACTCTTTTTCTCTATTTACTTTCTGCTATGTTCTTAATCTCTTCTTATACTATTCTTTTTTTATTCTTTTTTTTTATTATATCTCTCTTTATTAGAAGATTATTAATTTAGAGAAAATTAATAATTTTATTGTTTTCCATTTTCACAAACAGTATTAAAGAAATAACAGACAACATTATTTTACAAATAAATAAAATTATTTTAGTTTATTATTTTTATACAATCAGAAAAATCGGTAATAGTTTAATTGCTCGTAAAAATTTGGCTAAATATGTGTAATATGATTTTAACATGATTTCTATAAGTAGCTGTGGAATAAGTGCAAGAAACGTAATTTTCATTGGCAAGTGAATATTCAGGAAGTGATAAAACATAGAGTGATACAAGTAATATTGAAATTGTAACTTTGGTACCAATTAATTTTTGTTAATTAATTGATTTTTGAACTTTCTAATTATCATCTATTTAAGTGCAGAAATTCAATTCTTTTTATATCTTGTGTGACAAGGTATAATATGAAATAATTAAATGTTTCTACAGATTACTGATGGCCATAACAGTCATTTAAGTAGAATTTAACACTTTTTATGTTTTTGTATTTCTTTTGCTTTACCTAATTCTTTCTCGTCTATTAATCACAGGAAAAACAAAAAATATTTTATACACAATACTTAAATATTATTTAGCGATAACAAAAACAACAATTTAGCTAAACAAAAAGTATTTTATACACAATACTTAAATATTATTTAGCGATAATGTTTATTGTACAGATGCAGCGATTGTAACTTCTCACAGTCTAGGATTTGCTTCAAATGTAAAATAAATTTTAAATGACGTAATAACCCTAAAACAATTTCATATATTTCGCACTAAATAAAATAGTAAATAATTAGGAATTATAGAAATTTCAATTATCGTTGTTCTTATTATTAGAATAACAATGATTAGTATCGTTATATTTTCGAATGTATCGTCATTCATTTATTCGTTGATTCGTTCATTCATGGGAAGATGCTTTCTCGCGGTCTCCTCCCTTTACGCGCCGTGAAGTCCACGGTTTGACCTTCGCCCCTTTTCCTTTTCCTCTCTACCCCACAGCTACTCAGTTAAGATACATATAGGGTGTTCCAAAATTGTGCTATTTCAATAATTTTTTGAGTATTATTTCTATTGAAATAAATAAATTACAAAACTATAACTATAGTGTATATTAACTTGAAATTTTGAAACAATTTATTTTTTATTTTGAGTAAAAATGTATCATTTGAAATTCAAAAACTAAAATATATTTTCAAAATAAGACTAATTTTGTTTCTTTCTTGTAATGTTCGTTAATCATTTTGAAACGGTCAGAAAATTATATTCTATAAATATAAAGTAATTTTATATACGTTGCATCAGTAATTCTAATTCTAATATATTTATGACAATGCTAAAGACATATATATATAATATATATATATGTATATATATATATATATATA